TCCAACACTTCTCTGTCAGATGTTTCAATGTACGATGGTAGACACAAAATTCAGGGCTCTCACGGTCCTTTTTTGATGGCATTTCTTCGACATAAGGCAATTTTAGCTCTCCGTCGACCACCCATTCCTTAACTAGAGCTTTTACTTCCTCGATTCCACATGGATAAGAAACATTCCCCTTTTCACCATTATATTGCTTTCTCTTCTGGCCTCTATGAGCTCCTCCTTGTGACTTTCGGGTATCTGGGGCAAAGACAGCAGCAACAATAGGTCCACGAGATGATTTGAAGCTAGTCTTGTAACTGGCCTTAAATCCAGACTCCTGAGCCTGAGGAATGCTAATGTTCCGAGCTGCTTCTATTAATGCCGAGAAGGTGGGTAGCTTGCGATTAACTAGAAACATTTTGTACCTGCTCAATGCCCCTTCCAGACAGATTTGAACCAAATAACTCTCCTCAACTGCTTCATGGCAATCCACGACCTTGTCCTGAAACCTTTTGACGTAGTCAAGGATGTCTTCACTTTCTTGCTGCTTCTCTTTACACAATGTAAGTGTGGTCACCTTCTCCGCCACTTGAAAGAACTTGGAGTGAAATTTGTTAACCATTTCCTTCCAACTTCGGACAAAGTTTGGGGCCAAATTAACATACCAACTATATGCTCGGTAAGTGAGGGACTTAGAGAATTCTCTCAGCTGGAGGACGTGGTTTGAACCATGAATACCCAGAGTCTCGATGAATCGCACAACATGTTCTCGAGCATTTCCTTGTTTACCATCGAACTTGATGAATTTCGGCACTGTACACCCCTCAGGGTATGGATAGCTCAGCATCTCAATGGGGTAAGGTGGCTTGACATCCGGATCAGACAAAGAGGGTAAAGTCCTCTTGCCCCGTTTGAGATCGAACATGGCTTGCACATCGGCGAGAGTGAGAAACTGTTGAGGGAGAGAGTTTGATGGTGGTATTCCCGGAACTTGGCTTATGGACCCAAAGACTGAGCTAGGGGCGACTTGGCCATTCTGGTGCTGCGAATTCATCATTGGTGAGGACATTTGACGATACTGGCCATCAGCACCTATAGACAAGCCAATTGGTGATGGGACATTGAATTGAGGCCCGTAGAGTCCACCGTACGGCGCCGCTATACCGGGTTGTGCTTGCAAATTTGTTGTTGGCACCAAAGGAGGCCCGCCTGGTACTTGAGTAACATTTACTGGTGGCGTAACAAGATTAGGTACGGGCAAAGCTCCCTTTTGCTTCAGCATGCCCCTTATATTTTCCTGGACACCGACAGTTGCCGGAGCGCCATTCATTACACCAGAACCTCCCCTAGTCACCATTGGATCTTGGCTTGGCACGCCATGGAGCCCTGGCATGGGCAAACTGCTGCTGCCTATTGTGGTTTGAGCATGTGTTACTTTGGCTGTGTTGCCATGAGCCATAGGCTGATTAGGGCCTACTTCTCCTTGGATTTGATTTTGCGCTCCAGCGGGAATAACTCCACCACCAGTTTGATTTCCGTTTGGTGCCGGTGCAAAGTTAGAACTCATCACCAACATGGTGTGAGTGAGATTTTGAAGGGTGGTAAGAATCTCCTACTGAGTATTTTGAAGTCCTTGAATGGCTTCAAGCAAAAGTGGTTGATCTAAAGCCATGGTCCTGTCATCACTGCCATTAGAGGATCCTTGTTGATGAACTTCATCTTCTTCTGCCATCCTTGTTGGAGTTGTGTGGATTCCAGATCTCGTTGAGACCATTAACCAATCCACCTCCCCAGTGAAGTCGCCAAATGTATGAAAGGGTTCAAGAAAGGAGTTGGAAAATTCGAAGATCTTCAAAAATCCTTGAAGAATAACTTCGAATTCTCTAGAAGATGATGAGAGGCTTAGATTCTTCAATAGTCTCAACTCAAGAACACAAGAGTAAAGGAGATGATGGACATAAGAGATTAGGTGAAGAAGAAGGCAAAATGGCTAGAGAGAGAATAATGGCAAGGCTTTCCCATGGATATCCCACTTTCACTCTCAAGGTTGATAATGGAGAAGGGAAATTAGTTCTTTCCCAAGAGTTAAAAATCTCCAAAATCCCTCTCTTGTAAAGCTATGGGTGGGTGCTATTTATAGGCACCTCATGATGTAGGATGGAGCCCATGAGCAAGGCACATGGGGGATATTTTCTCTAACCACCTTGTCCGAGGGGGTGACTTTATTGTATAACAAATCTCTAGTAAATCGACAACACTGATGTTTACATTATTAAGGAAGAAAGGAAATTAACCAAAAGTGTGAAAAACATAAAGATAGTGCAAAGCACAGGTCTATTTGCTAAACTCTATGAAAGGCATAATGCCTCAGTAGAATGATATAGCTGAGAAACATTATTATACTCTAATGAATATGACTAAGAGTATGTTAAATAATTTTTAAATACCTATAACATTGTGGATGTATATCGTAATGATCTATTGTTTTCATATAGAATTGGGTTCCTAGTAAGGCAGTTTCAAACACTCATTTTAAACTGTGAATAGAAATGAAACTAAACTTAAGACACCTGTATGTTTGGGGTTGTCTACAAATTTTGAATTATTAATCCACATGAAAAGAAAAGGATTTTAGAATAATCAATGATTATTTTGTTGACTACCTTGAAAATTTAAAGGGTATTAGTTTTACTATCTTGGCCATAGTGCAAGAATTGCAGAAACCGATAATATCAAATTTAAGAAGAATTGTGAAATCAATGGGAGTGATAAATCATGAAATGTAATTACTTAATAAGTTTGGGTACAAGTATCATTACCCATAATTTGAAGGAAATTGTCGTTCCTATAGTTGTTAAACAACTTAATGTCTTGGAACAACAAATGAATAATCAATTACTTCATAATGTAATTATGAAAAGTTGTAGAAGAACCACAAAAAATAATATTAAGAAGATCTCATAAGGTAAAGAGATTTATCATTTCGAATGATTATGTAGTATATCTATAAAAATCTTATTATAATATTGGGATAAGTAAAGACTCGGTTTTATTGTCACAAGCCATAAAAAGTATTGATTCTATTAAAGGAATTGATGTCATGAATGATGAGTTGAAATCAATGGACCAGAATGAAATTTGGGATTTCATTGAATTGCCTAAGAATACAAAAATATTTATTGTTCTAAGGGCAATATAAAATGATATAATGCTAGATATGTGACCAAAGATTTTACTCATAAAGTAGACATTGATTACAATAAGATATTCTTTTTTCACTTGTATCTTAAAGGGCTGATTTAGAATCATTATGGCATTAATGATTCATTATGATATTGAGTTGTATTAAATGTATGTGAAAATTAATTTTCTAAAAGAGAGTTTAGATGAAGAATTTTGTAGAGATCAACTCAAAGGTTTCTCTATTGAGGAAAATGAAAATGTGACTTGCAAACTTAAGAAATCAATTTATGAACTTAAACAAGCTTTCTAAAAATTGTATCTTAAGTTTTATAATACTATTTTTCCTTTGGATTTAAAGAAAACATTTTTTATTAGTGTACATATCCAAAGATCAGTCGAAGCAAGTTTATATTTATGATTTTGTATATTGGTGATATTTTGCTTGTCAATAATGTACGTGATTTATTGCACAAGTTAAGAAATTTCTCTTTAAGAATTTCGAAGCGAAATATATTACTAAAACAACCTATGTAATAGAAATTGAAATATTTGTAAATGAATCACATGAATTGTTGAGATTGTCTTAGAAGGTATATATATATATATATATATTAAAAGTTCTATAGAGATTCAAAATGAGAGAATATTCACATAAAGTTATCCATGTTTCGAAAGGAAATAAATCCAGTCTTATACAGATTTTTATAAAATCAATTAGAATGGAAACAATTCTTTATACATTTATTGTATGAAATTTAATACTTAAATAAGGAAGTAATAAGGTAATCATAAAGAATAAAAGATTACTTGCTCACATTTATTAAATCTGATAATCATGAATTGATTGGCTACTTAGATTCAAACTTTAGATGATATATTGAAAGTGAAAAATTCACTCTTGGTTCTTTGTTTCTTTTATGTGGAGGAGCAATATTAAGAAAAGTGTAAAATAAACTATCATAAGTATCCTTTATGAAAGTTGAATTTGTGGTGTGCTTTGAGACCACAATTTATGAATTGTTATTGCGAAACTTTATCTCAAGACTTGGGATTGTCAACTTTTATTGCCAAGTCCTTGAGAATTTATTGTGATAATTTTGCAGTTGTTTTATTTTCTTAGAATGATAAGTATTCTAATGATGCTAAACACATATAATTGAAATACTTTGTCGTTAAAGAAGAATTTGAGAAACAGAAAGTGTCAATAGAACACATAAGTAGATAACTTTTAAGTGCAGATCTATTGATGAAAAGATTACTCTTAAAGACAATTAAGAAACTTGCCAATTGGGTCTTGAATGTAATCCATAACAGTTGTTTATGATTGATTGTGTTTGTTAACACATTGAGATCTCATTAATTGTGTTTCTGATATATTTCCTGTTATGAAATGAGTATGTACATATATGAGAATGAATGAATGATAACAGGAATAGTTTTTCATAAAAAGACATTATCGTTGGACCTCTTTATACTCTTCACTTAAAGGGCTATATTAAACTAGTTGTTAGTGTTATATAGTACATGGAAAGGACTATGGTGTAGAACCGTCATGACTCACATTAGCAAATTATTTAATTATAGTATTATGATGATAACCAATTTAAATGTAATATTGAATTTGGTTTATTGCGCGCTTAATGTTAACCTTATTAAATCTTGATATAAGTTATCATATAGGCCAAGTGGAAGAATGCAAGACTAAATTAATTATTTAGTCATTATCTTGACCCACATGATATGGTAATATGAATTAGAGATTTGGCAAGATTATGATTCCATATTTTTGCTACAATTAATTGGTAAACAAAGAAGAGTGTTTTCCAAGTATCCTACTTTGATGGGAAAGTGGAATCATTGTTGAAAAAGGAAACTGGTCCTCTCACTACCTATAAAAGGACATTCAGACTACCCATCAATGATTCTGAATTCAATGTATTCTGAAGAGGGTCAAGAGAGAGAAACCATTTTCTACTAATATTATTATTAGGTTTATATTCAATCAATTTTGGGTAGCTCGAAGGTTTCGCATAACTGATTCGGGTATGTTATTTATTTTCTACAATATGTTATTATTTGTGAAAATCGTGATAATTTATTGTGGGAGCCAGAAAATAATATATATCAACTTATTAGGCTAACCCAAACAAGGCCTGCCAAGGGGCCAACCATTGGGCTTATTCAGCCCACCCCCCATCTATAAAAGGAAGGCATCTCATAGCATATAGGTATGATCTTTTCTCTGCACTTCACAGACAACATTCTTTACTATCTATACTTTTTATTCATGGATTGTAACTTCATCATCGGAGTATCCCTGGCCGGAAACCCCGGTTGGGTGGCGTTAACCATATTTATCTCTTACAGGTTTAAGGAACTATCTTTGTTGAATCTCACCAACAATCTATGTGAGAGGATATTTTATGGTCTCACATTTATGATTTTGGATTATGAAGGTTGTTATATGCATAACACCATAAAATTATTTGCAGCCTCTTCTCTTTCTCCATAATAACCTTACTTGATGATAAACAAGCCATTTTCCTTTGCTTTCTCTAGAACCAAACACAAACCTTGGAAAAGAAAAACAAAATAGAAACTTCCCCAAAGAAAACAACACACAAAAAGAGCAAAAGAAACGTTTCTCTGACAAAGACACGAACCCTTCCACCCACTGAGAGAGAGAAAGCGAGAGGGTACAGACGGGTATGTATATATATAGATGTAGATGTGTGTATGTGAAGAAGAAGAAGAAAGGAAACGAGTAAAGATATCGTGATGAAATCAAGGGTCACAGATATTTCGTGATCTTCTTGGGCCATTGGGATACGATTGCAAAGAGATGTTTCTATAACTGACACTTACACCCTTAAGCAAGGAGTTAATACCCTAGAATAAGCCATAACCCATGACATTTAATCCAAATCTACAAAATTCTGTTTGATTTTTGTTAATAAAAATAGATTTTTTTTAATAACTAATATCATTTTCTTTTTTCTCTCCACAAATTTTTCATCAACATTCTCATTTGTTCTTGTTATATATATGTATGATTTCTTGGATTAGATTTGTTGTTGATTTCTTAAAACTCGAGAAATCAAACCACTTATCAAACCTATTTAAGAAATCATACATATAAAGGCCTAAAACACCAAGTTTGTGAGGACACTTACACTACAAGCATGCAATACAAGACTCAAACGACTTAACCAACCCAAAATAGAGTTAAAACAGTCCAAATCAGAGCCTAAAACATGCTGGAATTAAACAACAAATTGTTAGAAAAATAAGCTAACACATAGAGCAAAGATCAATTCTAGGCAATAATTCAAACCAAAACCAACTTCAAGAGCTCCAAAAAGGCCTCGAGGAACCTCAGTCCAAAGGTGATCAACTTTGATTAAGGAGGTGTAGGCAAAAGTGTAGTGTATGTAGGCTAATGTGCACAAATTTGCAAGAGAGGGAGAGAAATGTAGAAAGAGAGAGAGATTTTTTCTCCAAAAATTCTAACCCTCCAAAATGGGGGAGGAGTCCCCCTATATATAGAAAAGCATGCATTTGGCTGAGATATATCCCTTCATACATGTGTAGGGAGATGCAGCCAATTATGCCAACAGCTGGCATAACTGTCAACAAAATATCTGAAAAAAGACACTGATGGCCGGTAGGCCACCTAGATGACCGGCAAAGCACAATTGGTGGCCGACAGTTTCAAACAGTGGCTGGCTGGCCACCAGGGGTTGCAGGCTTGAAGGTTTTGGTCCAAAACAAGGCATAGAATGGACAAGGTTTGAAAGCTCAAAGACATGGCATTCCACCGAAGACTTTGGGGCACTAAAACGAGCACATGCAGTCATAATTATCGAGTGCACAAGCGATGACATCCAAGTCTTGAGAACGGTAAAAAATGGGGTGTCTACATGCACTCTCATGTTTTCCACCATGAATAGGTCCCTTTGTGATTTTTCCATCCACATTTTGCTCAATATCGGTCCCCATGGTTGGTCCCCAAACTTGAATACACTTATTATTATTATTATTATTATTATTTTTTTTTTTTTTTTTTTT